TCATATACATGGCTCCAGCCCTTCGGGGATTTAGAACAGGCCCATAAGTGATTTTCTCAGGGCTTAGTATTAAGTTTTTAAACTATCTACATACAACTTTCCAGACAGACCATGCTAAGTTGCCTTCTTAGAATTCCCAGTGGCTCTCAAAGTGACTCCTCCTCACTCTGTTTGCCTCCTTATTTTTTAAGTGACCAGAAACTCTTTTCTTCTCTAGGTGGCTTGATGCCAAAAGGAGCCCACCAACCTAAGAAAGTACAGACAGAGAAATGACTGTTGGTTGCCCAAGAATAGAATGGCCATTCTAACATGGATGACTTTTTTTCTTTGAATGTGAATCTTCTCTTTCACTAGCCCCTCTCCCTTTGAAACTCAGATGTGTTATAAGATCTAATTAGACTAAACAGTTTGAAACACACTAATAACTCGCAAAGCAGAACCACACCTCCTTTCAAACTTGCTCCAATTTTTGTTCTGTTTTTTTCAAGAAGCCAGTCCCTCTTTTTCACTGGAAACTCACTGTGCCAAACATATTTCAATAGAACATGAAGAGTTTTTATTCAAGAATAAATTGTGTTTTCTCAAAAATTTTAAAGAATCTTTAATGATTTTTCACTAATCACTTTCCAGGTAATCTAGTATTATTCCCTCTAATCCTTTTCTCTTCTTTTGGCAAGTCACCCTGAATTCTTAGTCTAGAGTGAGAAATCCTGGACTTTTAACCTTCAGCTTGAAGCCTCATCACAACAGTCATTCATGCTTGTCTCAGTAATAACCAAAGATACCTGTTTCTATAGTTTTCTTATATTTTGTGCTCTTTCTAGATATCCTTGCACATTTTACTCATTTTTGTTTTGCTTGTAATAACTCTCTATCTTTTTATTTTACTTTTTAGCTAAAATTAGGTGCAACATTATTCTTTGATTACAAATCCTCCCCAATTTGGCTTCTAGAGGTGTGGCTCTTCCAGAGCTAGTAATGCATAAGCAGAATTTTTAAAAATTGAAAAAAATACATATATATGAGATGTATATGAAATATATAATTTATGTATATGTTTTATAATATGTCTTCATAAGGAAGTATAGGCTTGATTTGAGAGTTAACATCATCTAATCATCTGATTCCAATTCGATTTTACAACATGCCTGAGTTTCAAGGAGCAAGAGACTGGAAAAAAAGAAGATGTAGATGGAGGGAAACATTTCTATGCTGGTAAAAACCAGTCTAATCTGGGAAGATATATTCTTCCACTGTACTGCATAACACTAGTCAGTAATGGGCAGAATTTACAATGATGATCCTATAAAATTATAATAGCCTATATCCCATTTAGCTTAGGTGTGTAGTGGGCTATCCCATCTAGGTTTATATAAATATACTCTATGATGTTAACACAATGAAATTGCCTAATGATTCATTTCTCAAAATTCTTCCCTGTCAGTTAAGTGACATATGTCTATCTGTGTGTGTGTAACATATATAAACTAAATATTGGTTGTTAAAAAGGTAATGATGCATGTTCATAAGAAAAACATAGAAAAAATATATCATGAACTTTTATGACACCTTTTATGATAGCAATATTTGATTTGTAAATATTTAGTAAGCACCCTCCATGCACCAGTCACAGACCCAGGTACTAAAAAGGAAAATAGTGAATGTTACTTTTCCTTTTCAAGTTCTCCACAATCTAAGGAGAAAAAAAGACATATGGTGTAAAACATAATACAGTATAATAAAGCTTGCTTTGGATGAATAAAAGACTTTGAGAACATAAAAACAGGTGTATTTAATTAATGATTTCTGAAGACTTTAGAGTTGACTTTGGTGGCTCTTTAAGGCTCAGTAGAGGGGCCAGCTCTATGACCTGGTGGTTAAGGGAGCTGGGTCCCACCTGACCAACTGGTTGGAATCCCAGAGCTGGAGGCTTGGCATATATACTGGGTACATGTGCATGTTTTCCTAAAATACCAACAGGATGGAAAAATGGAGAAGAAGGGATTTGGGCATGACCCTGCTGGGAGAGTGTACTTTCTCCCTTTCTTCTTTCTCCTTGGCTCTGTGTCTTACTGGTAAGCACACATTCCCTTTGGCAATTAAAAAAGGAAAAAGTCTTAGTAGTTTTATGAAGAAAAGGTTGGAATATGATGGAAAGGCACAGAGACAGATAAAAGTACACAAAATAATTAGGTAACAGAGATTCATAGAAAAGACTTTCTTCTGGCAAATGGTAGGCAATGAGGATAGTAGTAATATAAAGCAAGGAACAGATGAAGGTCTTTAAATACTTTATTAAGATTTCATTTTATTTTCAGAGTAACTGGGCACTATAAAAATTTTAGCTGGAGGGGGCCAGAAAGTGGGGTAGTAGTTAAGGCACTGGACTTCCACATGGTCCACCATGGTTCGAGTCCCAGACCCAATAGCTGGAAAATCACACTGGATGTGAGTTCATGTGTGCCCAAAACTCTGAGAAAAGACTAGAGGAGAAGGAATTGTGGTATGGCTAGACCCCCTGGGGGAGGGGTGATTTCTCACTTTCCCTCTCTTTGTCTCTCCCTGTTTCTCTCCAACAAGTGCATGCACCCCATGGCGAAAACGTTAAAAAAATTTTTTTTGACTGGAAAATGAAGTAATTACTTATGCACTTTAAAATATAGTTCAGAGGACTATAATAGTAAGAGGACTACATGTAAGGTTAGAGAGAGAAGCAGAAAAATCAAATAGGAACCTATTGCAGAGGTGATGCACATATTTATAAACGCCTGCCCTAGGATAGTTGCAGTGCAAAGGTAAAAGGGAAACTAATAAGAGACATTTAGAAATGGAAACTACTAGATTTAATAATCAGTTGATTGTGAGAGATAGGGGGAAAAGAATGGGAGGCAAGGGTGCTCTGAGACTTTTGGTTAGGCGATTGGATATATGACAATGTCATCAGCTAAATTTGAGAAAATACAAGGAGAAACATTTTGGTAAGGAGAAATATTTAGGAAATTCTCAAATGGAGGGAAAATGGAGATATACAGGAAGAAGTTAGAACTCAAGAGAGAGGCTACACTTAGAATCACAGTAGTAAGACACATAGTTGGACCTGTAAGAGTGGACAAAGTCAACAACAGGAACAAGCATGTGGACTGAAAGAAGAGCCAAAAACCAAATCCCAAGAACACCACATCCAAGGGAGAAGGCAAAGAAAAAGAACCAGAGAGAGACTAGAAACAGGCAGTATAGAAGGTAGGAAAAGCAGAAGACAGGGTGCAACCAAAACTAAAGGGAAAGATAGCAAAATTGGAGAAGACCAAAGGTGGAGGGATTTCCCCAGAAGAGACTGTTGTGAATTATCAGAGAACTAAAAATTTTAGGAAAGTAATTCAAGAGAATTTTAATCTCAAAAGAGTAAGCTAGCTTTCTAGGAGTGTAATGAGGAGGAGGAGAGGAGGCCAGGGCAGCAGTTCAAAAGCAGAGAATTTGTGACCCAAGGGGAGCATCAGGATTTGGGTATGGTTTCATCTGATTCTGAAGTGTCATAGGGAATATAATTTAAATATTAAGATCTGTAGCTTGTCATCATGAAATTGAGAAACCTAGAAGCCTGGTTTTACATGTGACCTAGGCTCCTTAAGCTTTTGCTTCATTTTTATTTGCCTAAATCCTACCATGTGTAAACTGTTACTAAAAACACTTTTTACCATTGATGTACAATTTCTCTTTCCTTACCATGGCTTTTCCAATCAATGGAAAATGTTATGGAAGAACATGGTTACATAATAAAACTGGTTATTAGAATATGGATGACTTACCTTTGAAGGCACACCCATCTTGGGATGTGAGAGAAGAACACTGAGCAGGTTGGACACCAACCCTAGATCCCAAGACTGGAGAGAAGTCAGTGAAAAAAGCTTGGAAGATATTGTGGAGGAAAATAGAGGGACATGCAAGACATAAAAGGAAGAGAGTGCTTTCAGAAGGAGAAGGTGTCAAATGCTGTGGAGGAAATGAAAGAGGCCTTCTTTATCTGGGATGAAAGTGTCACTGGAACTTGAAAGAGCAATTTCAATAGAATGGTGAAGTAAGAGCCAGATTTGGGAAATAAATAGAAAATGATGTCCTAATGTACTCGTTACTTCTCACATGCAATAAATAATGTATCTTTTATATACAATGAACTTCTCTATATAATGTGCCTGAATGTGTATGTGTGTACACACACACACACACACACACACACACACACACACACAAAATGTGTCTTTATATAGCCAAAGCTTCATAAGCACCATATTTATTAATTATACCTCACATTAGGAACATCACATAAATGTACATATAATGTACATTATAGATACTTAGGTTTAAAATTCCATAAGGTATACTAATTACTATTGAATTATTACTATTTTCTGCTCCTTTTAAAAATAATTGTGAACTTGGAAACTGACTTTACGTTGCAAGAAAGATTGCTAGAAGTACCAATATAAGGGGTCTTCAAAAACTTCATGGGAAATGCATATTATTTAAAAACTATTCCTGGATTTCAAAAAATTTTGTACTAGGGACCAGCAGTTAGTGTAATGGCTATGTCGTTGGACTCCCATGTAGTCAACTGCGGTTTGAGTCCCGGACCCGGTGGCTTAAGCTCAATGCTGGGCGCATATGCATGCGTGCCCAAGATCCCGAGAGGAGAATGGAGGAGAAGGGACTGCCGCGTAGCAGATTTCTCGCTTTCTGTCTCTCTATCTCTCTCTCTGTCTGTCTGGCGAGTGCACGTGTCCTATAGCAAAAACCTCTCCAAAAAAAAAAAATCTGTACTAAAATGAACTCATACTTTAACTCCATTTTCCATAAACTTTGTGACATCCCCTTGTATAAGGAAAGAAGGATAAACTTACAGTTTTTGAGAGGGATTATATGCTAGAGTTTCTTCTTAACATATGACTAAATTTTATTCTTTTTCTTTCTCTCTCTCTGTCCCTTCCCTCTCCCTCTCCTTCCAGTGGAATGGAGCATGTCTAAAGACTTCTCTCCTTTGGCTGGAGAAATTATCATGGATAACCTGCAGACCTTGAGATACACAATCACAGGACTTACGACGGTAAATTGTCCTCCCTATAGGTGCCCATTCCCCTGCCACTGTTTGTGCTGGGATGTTGGTAACAAATGCCTATTCTGAAAGCAACAGCCAATACCCAGTCTTCCGGCAACAACTGCCACTCATTAAGCTTGACATGTCTGGTATCCATAATCTGAATTTCACTAAGGAGCAAGCAGACAGCATGAACCACTTTGTAAGCTGCCATGTTCGAAGGAGATCAGAAAAAGACTGGCCTCATGCAAGCCTTGAAAGCTGCTGCTTTCTGGATCACAGTCTAATCTTTGGAAGGGATCAAAGGCTCTGAGAGATCCAATTTTGACTCCCTGTCTGATGGTAAAAATAACAGCCTCATCTAGCCCTCACCACCCCCCACCCCAGTCTCAGTTGAGATCAGTCATCAATTGGAGTCACACAATTTCCTGAGAGAAATCCTTTTTCTTGATTAAAAAAAAAAAAAAAAAAAAAAAAAAAAAAAAAAAAACTGTCTAAATCTGCTTTCACAAAAAGAAACTATATATGGTGGAGCTACATTTCTCAGTAACTTAAACCACTTTAAACTGTGAATGAAAAACTGGAACAAATCATGCTTGTTTGTTTAACCAATCTAAACTCAAACATTAACTATTTTGGAACTACAAAGCAAATGAGCATGTGAAATGCAAAATATAAAAACACCTAGCAAATGAGTTCAAATTGGAGCAAGCCCTGTATTTCCTCAAGCATTTAAAATGCATAATAATACAGTAATAATACAATAATAATAATGTTTTTTAAATCAAATCTTTTTAAAGTAAATTTAAATCAGATCATTTTTTTGGGGGGGGGGTGTCCATTTCAAATAATTAGTTTCTTAGGGAACTGCATGCAGGAAAATAAAATTTGGTTGTTCTTGATGCTATTGTTTTCTTAAAGATTAGTTGATTAACAGTTAAAACAGTTAAAGTATAATACTGAAACCCAGCATTAAAAAGCTGCATTACATGGCATCTCTTCACATTGTAACCAGTTTATTCTAATAGAATTCTTGGTGGTTGTGTCACTACCACAGAATCCTGATTTTTAGTCCTAATCGCATGTCTATACCAGGGGCCAGAACTGTGGATTACCAGAGCAAACAAACCCCTGAGTGGGTGGCCCCCAGAGATGGTTATCAGCAGAATACTGATTCCAATCCTATGGCTCACATGATGGAAGAGGGCCAGAAGGGACCCTAGGGAATTTACATTGCTTAAAAGAAAAAGTGATATGGTGATAAAAATGGAGAACTCTTCGTAGAGAGTTTCTCTTATATCTGAACTAATTTATGTATGGATTAAGTTTTTCCACTTGGCCAGTCAATGAGAGCAGTGCAGACACTATCCTAATCATATAAAAGCCTGAAGATAGATTTATACTTTTATACAATCTCTATAACTTTAGGGTACATAAAAACTCATTTTCATTGTTAAGAAAAAGTTAACTCCACAACATGGTAAGGTCAATAGTATTACTTCCCTAGCAAAGGCTTTACAAGGATTAAAATTATTAGATTTTTTTTTTCATTTCAAATGCCATTTTATAATTTTTACAGTTTCATCAAATGCTAGATTTTCAAATGGCTGTTTAGATTCACTAAAATAAAAGTTAAAAAAAAACTCAAAACAAAATGTAAAACCATACAAAGCATTTTAGAAAAATAACACCCGAATTCTTTTTTTTTCTTTTTTTTTTCTTCGAGAAAGATTTTTGCTATAGGGCACATGCACTCACCAGAGAGACAGAGACAGAAAGCAAGAAATCACCCTCTAAGGGAGATGACCACACCACAATCCCTTCTCTTTCACTCTCCTCTCAGGATTTTGGGCATGAACGCACATGTGTCTAGTGTGGATTTTAAGCCACAATGTCTGGGACTTGAACCATGGTCAATTACATGGGAGTCCAGCAATACAACTGTTAACGGTGGGTGTATCAACATCCTAATTCTCAATGTCATAAAAGGAACATAAGTATTAAGGAATACAAGCCATTCTTTTAATAATGGTTTTTAAATTTAAGTCACATCAAAGAGTTAATTTTTAAATGTTTGAACAGCTAAGTAAGAATATTTATCACAGCATTATTTATTCTGGTGCAGAATGTGGAAACAATCTAAGTGTCTATCAATGAAGAATTAGTTAAATAAATTATGGTACTTGCTCACAGTAAAGTACTATGCAGCAACTAAAAGAATGAAGCAGGTTTTTAAAGCACTAATCTGGAAAGTTATTTATTATAATTTGCTGATTTTCTAAAACAAATATATCAGCTAAAAGAGTTGATGCTTCTGTGGTAGGTAAAACAAAGAGAGAGAAGTAAGGTAAATCTTTCTAACAAATGGTGGCTGAAGTTTGTAGAACTGTGTGACTTTCAAAAATTAGTGCATAGTTTGAGGAGCAGATCAGGAAAATGAATTAAGCTATTCCAATTATGGAAAAGGAAGTACATAGAAACTAAAAAAACTTCAAATATGGCTGCAATAATTACAAACAAAAAAAAAAAAAAAAGCCAGAAAGCTAAAATATGGGCAGTGGCGTTCCAAAGGAATGAATGTGTTAATAAACACAAAGATCTGCTTCTGGTGTAAAAGTGATTAAAGAAAATGCCTGATGCATCATTCTGTTTTGATACTTTGCAGGGCCAACAGTATTTTGTTCAAGTCTCGGCTTATAACATGAAAGGATGGGGACCTGCTCAGACCACGACACCAGCATGTGCCTCTCCTTCTAGTAGGTGGTGGCTGTATTCTCTCCCCAGTAGGACAACAGGCTCCAGCTGCAGCTCCATCCTCAGAGTGCCATTGCTGTTCCCTTTCCCCACTGATTGTGACCAAGGCAGCATCTAAGCCACCTGAGAAATGATTCTTCCACATGTTCCTGAAACACAGTCAATGTATTAGACCCAGGAGAGGGAATGTGGAATTTTGAATCAGAAAGACCAAACTAGATATCTACTAAACCTTTTATCAATGCATGGCTTTCAGGTTATATAAGCCCTCTCTGCCTCAATTGAACATCTGTAGAATGGGTCTAACTATGCTTTCTCACAGGGCTGTTGTAGGATATAGTGAGGTAGCACAGTAGGGGCAGCTGGTCCAGAGTACATATAGTCCATTTACACTTCTTCTTCACTGCCAGTGGACAGAGGCACAATAATCTGATGAGAGGATGAAATCTAGCAAATCTTACTTACCTGAAAAACTTTCTAACAGGTACTCTGCCATGAATATAATCTATAACTTTCGTAGTGAATAATAAATCCCCCCCAAAAAAGACCTCTTCTAATTATCTGAAGAATATAATATAACTGGTATGTTTGGTAACTCTCTATTAACCAGTAAGTATAATTACGCAGTACATCTCCAGACATACCATATGATAGATTTTTCTAATAAGCCCAGTGCTCTGAATTGTATTTTCATTTAAAAAAAAATCACAAATATGATGGCTAAAATTGGACTCATATGCTTTTGTGAGAGTGCAAACTTCTACATTCTTTATAAAACACAACTTGATATATTATAGCAACTGCCTTTAAAATTTTTCCTTTTATTCCCAAATTGTACATCTAATAAACTAACCTAAGGAAACAGAGATGCAGACAAACAATTATGTAAAAGACATGTGCTACAACCATCTATTGATAATAGCAAAATATAACCATGTGTGATGGGAATAAAAGTATCCAATATTAATTTAGTGTTTAGTGAGCCATTTATATCCTTAGTATAGAACAAAATACAACACTAAAAATGGTATTTAGAAAAAAAAATTTTGTGTGTGGAAGAAATTCTTGCAAAGTTTTACATTAAAATAAAAGCAAAATGTGTTCCTTTTCACATATTTAAATTTCAGGCTTGCCTATAATTAGGTAGGGTGTGTCTGTATCATGATTGCTATCAAAATCAAACCATGGGCATTTGGGTTATGAAATGATGCGCTCTTGTTTTTTGGTTTTTTTTTTTTTTAAATTATAATTCCTGGTTTCTGAATAATAATTTTACATCTTTGTAGGGTACAATGTAATTTGTTTTGTTTTGTTTTTTACAGATTTTTCCCATAGGGCATGTGCACTCACAAGAGAGAGATAGAGGAGAGAGAGAGACAGAGAGAGAGAGAGAGGAAGTGAGAAATCTCCCCCCAGAGGGGATGGCCATGACGCAATCCCTTCTTTTCTATTCTCCCCCTGGGATTTTGGGCATGTACACACATGCACCCAGCGTGTTTTTCAAGCCACGGAGTCTGGGGCTCAAACTGTGCAGTCAGCTATATGGGATCATATTACCACCACATCACCTGCTAGCCCACAGTATTTTTTTAAATTAAAGCATGCATATAGTTTGCAATAATGAAATCAAGGAGATAGACATACTTTTTCAAGTTTTATAACAACTCTTTACCCAAGACTAACCATGAATCAGGTGGTATATTATGGTTTTTCACATTCAGTTTCTCTCTTAATCCTCACAGCTATCTTTTATTGTTATTTCTGCCTTGTAGATAAGCATCATTGTCATTACCATCTGTATCACTGTCAACGTCAGAGTTAATCCTATAAGACTCCTATGTAGGGCATTCATTTAAGTCTTATGTGAATTAACTCATTTAATCTTTATAACACATTTTTTGAAGTGGTTTTAATATTAGACCCATTTTTCTGGTGAGGGGAATATTCACATAGAAGCACATGCATGTGGAGCCTAGCATCTGAATTGGAATTCAGAGATGATGTTGCCTTTTCCAAAGTCATAATGCTGGTCTGTGGCTGAGTCAGGATTCGAGCCTGAATTGGTGAAAGCCCTGCCATGTCGCCTATGTTGTGATAACTAATGCTCTGTTATCAGGCAGACTAGCAAACTAAGAGCCACCCAACCATGAATTCAGACAGCTACATACTAGGCCTTGACTTCCAATGCCAGAGATCTCTAGGCCCATGACTTACCCTACTTTTGATGGCTTAATTATTCAAGTCCCATTTGGACATCTTTCTTATTGAATATTTATCAGAAATATAAACTTGGAATTGCAAGATTAAGATACTAAGGGAAACAACCCTTTTCTGGGGGTGGGAAGGTGGGGTGGAGAAAAGTATATATTATTGGAGATGGTAAGGCATATAGGACAAAAATACCAATCTCAGCTGACCAGAAAGTGAAGCAGTGAGGAACCCACTCCAAATGCATACCCCATTCAAATTATGATCTGCATATAGACATATTTACTTATAAAGGTCAGATGTTCAGTTCTATAAACTAAAACTTCTATTCAGACACTCTGCCTAATAGCCCATATGAAGACTGGTCTCCAGAATGGCAAGAGTGGTTGTTCAAGACTGGGAGGAGTCACTTATTACCTGATAATTAACATATCAAATAACTACTCTCTCTAAAACAGTATGTTTGGTTAGTAAGAGTAACTGGCACATTTAAAAGGTACTGAAATCCTAATATGTAGTTACAGGTACTGCAAATATGTCATATCGCCCAGAAAGAACAATATAAAAATACTCCTATTCCATAAACAGAGTATGACATTGTGATATAACATATATCAGTATTCAGATATTTACCAGAGGACAATGTATTCTAACATGACAGAGTAATTGGAAATTTAGTAATATGTTCCAGTAAGCTATAAAACTTTTTAAAAATATTTTTACAAAAGGCCTTAATGTGTTTTTATAGACTTATGCTATATGGTAGGGTGCATAATAAGAGAAAAGGACCCAGACAGGCTTGTCTGAGTTAGGATCCGGAAAGCCCTGATATCACCAGTGAATGTATGCTCTGCATTGTGTTGTAATTGAAGTGTCTCATTACCAGAACAGTGGACTGTATTATGTGGCACACGCTGCTCTTTTCCTACCATGTTAAGTTTATTCCTGTCAGATTTCTGATTTCTTAATATATTTTCAATTTTCCCCCTCATCCCCGAAGTCTCCTATTTTATGTAGTCATCAAAACCTTCCAAACATCTATGAGAAAAACTCATTCTTTCCAAAAACCTTGGCATCATGTCCAGTGCTCACTTGGGCTGCAATTTAGCATTAGCAATTTTCTAATGTATCATAAAATCATCAGATCAAGCTTGCCTCTGATGTAATAGGGCTCAGCTGAAAGAACCAGACCCATTTCATCTCCCCTGCATTGATGGCAGCATTAACACTCATTAGAATGTATTAGCATGTTCAGGGCTCTAGTAATTCAGCCACCCAGGAGTCTTACTCAAGCACACAACCTCACTCATCTTATCATGAGCACTTTATATGCACTTAGCCAATCCAGGGAACACGCTCATTATGGCCTCTACAAAGGCAACGATTATTCTCATGGGTCCCAGTTGCCAGGGGCACTACAAAAAAGCTAAGGACCATGGGAGTTTATTTCCTCAGACATTTTGAAACTTTCCAGTAAAAACCCTTCCTTATCCCATTCTACCTGAATACCATCATGGTTCTATTCACAATGCCCCACTACAGTTAATGAGTGTCTCCTATGTGCCCAGAATGGTATTTGCTTAACATTATTTCTTTTAAACTTCAAGTCACCTAAAAGGAGATTTAAAGACTCACTTTACAGAGAAGAAAATTGAGGCAAAAAGAAATTAAGTCATGTTCTCATCCACAAGGAACGAGTCTACAAAAAGCACCTTCGCCAATTCCCTGTCTCCAGAGTTGACCACGACTAAGCCATACCAAACAAACTCTAACCAAGTTTCTAATTCTACTATCCCCAAAGGGATGGCGGGAATGTCTATTTTATAATAATATGAGTATTCTATGGAGAGTCATGAGACTACTTTATAGCCCTGGCTATGTATCAACAAACTGAGTGGTATAGAACTATAATGGTTCTCTCTAGGTCCCGTTCCTATGGAAGGTAAAATAGAAAAGGATACTAGGGGGAAATGGGAAGGGAGAAGGATTAGAAAATGTCTGAGGACTCCTTCTTCATAGGTAATTATCTGATGGGGTATGAGATGGCATTTTCATTATAAACTCCTTTCATTTTAAATTATAATTTACATAATGCCTATTATGTAATAGATGCCATGCTAGATATTTTATGTACCTCTCATCCAATCCTTACAAAAAGTCCAGTAAAACTGATACTATACTCAGGACTTAGAAGAGCTGGGATTCACACCCAGATTTATCTGACCAGAACCACCTAATTGTTTTATACTCCTGGACCTTGGGTACAACTGTATGGAAAACTTTAACCTAACTTTAACTGTAATAATGTCTATTTAAGTTTCTGAATGAAGAAGACCCCATGTGGGAACCAGCAGTTAGTGTAATGGCTATGTCACTGGACTCCCACGTAGTCGACCGCGGTTCGCGTCCCGGACCCGGTGGCTTAGAACTCACGCCGGGCGCGTGTGCGTGTGTGCCCAAGATCCCAAGAGGAGAATGGAGGAGAAGGGATTGCGGCATGACCATCCCCCCTGGGGGGTGATTTCTCGCTTTCTGTCTCTATGTCTCTCTCTGTCTGTCTGGCAAGCGCACGCGCCCTAGAGCAAAAAAAAAAAAAAAAAAAAAAAAAAAAAAAAAAAACAAAACCTGTGACTTTTAATCTTAAGCTTTACTTTTACACTGGAGGTAAAATCCTTGCTTGCATTTTCTGTCATTGGGTATCTTAAATCCATTAGTACTTTTTTATAAAATATGCACTCAGGCTTATTTTTTATCCCTGATAAATGGTTTGTCTTTTATTCTACACATCCAAATATCACTCTCCATTTTATTATTAAATTGCAATAGCTATATTAGAATATTTCTTGGTGTTATTGGTTGGAGGGTCACTTTTCTTTCAGGTGTATTGGTTGGCCTTTCAATAAGTAGATTTGCCTTCTTTCATTTCAGGGATTAAAAAAAATGAATGATAGTTGTTCCTGCTTCTCAATTTTATTATTTTATTTTTTTGTGACTACTTTCACAGTTGTTTTGAACAGTAATTGCTTGATTCTCTATTACTTTATCTCAAATGCTTTTCTATATTTCTGATTGATGCTTTTCTATTCTCCTTTCCAATTTCCATTCCCCTTTTGTACTTCCTATGTTGTCTATTTGCTCTTAATGAAATATGGTGTTGTGGGAAACGCACACCCCCGCAAGAAAAAAAAAAAAAAAAAAAAAAAAAAAAAAAAAAAAAAGTCTCCAAAAAGGAAAAAAAAAAAAAGACCCCATGTATTAAAATAAATGTATGGAGTAAGAAATTTAAAATTTGTTCAACTCAAATTTAAGTCCAAATACACTGATGAACTCTATCATTTTTAGACAAAGTATTTGAACTAACCAGCGCTTTAAGTTTTTTCTTTTGAGAAGCAAAAAAAAAGAACTGGGGGTAGGAAAATAGAGGCAGTACAGGATGGACTGTGGAATGACTGACCTGCAGAAAAAGAAAAAAATCAGAAGTTGCAGACAGCAGAATTACAATCTTGACATCAGTCCCATACGGGTTATTACTTTTGATATCATTATAGCCAAATGGAATGAAAATAGAAGGGGCAGAAAAATCTCAGTGGGTATTGCAATTTAAATTTGCCATGTAAGCTAATACTGTATATTTAGAGACTGAGCAGACAGGGTGGTTGGTGGCTCAGAGTATGTGTAGGGCTTGCTGTGCCAGCTAACCAAAGCAGACATTCATTAGAGCAAAATGTAGATTTCCATTTCTTGGCATCTGACATGGGCTCTTTCCTTGGAAAGAAATGTCAATTTGGCCAAAAGTGTGAAACCTACAATAAAAGCATTGGGACTGTGGATTTCATCTAGTCTGCACAGTCCCACCCTTTTCTTTCCTACTGTGAAAATCCAGTTGAGACTTGGGGTGCTAAGTAGAGAGGTAGCAAGGGAACTGATTAGGACATGGGAGGTAAACAAGGGAGGATTACTGAAAGAAAGGAGATTAGACTTCCACATTTCCTCTTTCCTTTTGGCTTTCAGTTACCATTTTCTCTTGACCTAAAACTGCCCAACATAAGGAACCAACCACAATTACTGCTTTGCAAGGCTCTGAACAATGGCCACTTCCAAATGCTTGGCATTGCCTGCTAGCTGTACATGTGCTAGGTGCTCATCAACGGAGACTGTGGGTAGTATGAGCAAAACTCCAGCTCCTGAGGCAGGGCAGGGGAGACTCCTCCCCTACTTTAAAATTTCACTTTGTTTGTTTCTTTTGTTCAATAGACTGGAAAGACTATGACAACAGAGAGCCCAGACACAAGGGACAGAATGAAGTTTTGGAAGGTCTGCTGCAGCAGGTCCGAGCCCTTCATCAGCATTACAGTTGCCGGGGTAAGGATAAAAATCTGTGCTGGGCCATCGACTAAGGTCTCAGTGGCGCCAGTAATTTTAGCAGTTTCCTAACTGGGTCATACCTTTTCATTCATCAGGGAGAGAGAGATATTAATATTTGTACATCTGGAATCACTTTGCAGCACTATCTCGCTTTAACCCTTCAAAAGAGACGTCCCTTTCCTTCTCTTCCATCCCTTCTCTCTCTCCCTCTTTCCATGTGAACAGTTTGAAAACAAGCATAATGTAAACAGCAACTGCCATTAGTTCCCTTCTTTTTGAACCAGCAGTCCTGGTTCTTAGGGATATTTACCCTCAAACTTTTTACCTCCAAAGAAAATTCCCTGAGCATCCCTGAGGGAACACAACCAATTACAACAATAATAAACCTTCATACATATTTATAATACGGTTTACAATGCAATTTCACATCCAATATCTCATTTTGGCAGTTACCACTGAAGCTTAGTGACTTGCCCAAGGTCACAATGCCAGGAAAAGATAAAATCAGGACTCCAACCTGGGTTTTCTGGTTCCAAGTCTGGCCTTCCTGCCACACCTCATCTTTGTCTCCTGCTTTGCAGTAGGACTGGGCATTGAAGTTTAATCTCACTGTGAATTTTAATCTTTCCTTTATTACTGCTAAGGGGAACATAGAACATACCTTCTCTAGAGCTTCACCAACTCAGAGAACTTGTGAGAAGCTTTTAAAAGTTTCTCAGACTATTCAAATGGGATAGGGTCAGGTTTCGGATCTGTGTAATGATTCGTGGAAGAGGCACTTAGTTTTATTTGGAGAATTAATGCCTCCATAAAGTTTTCATTTTCCATGCTCCCACCAGATCTCTAACTACATTGTGCTCTCTAGACTCAAGGTACTGCTGGGCCAGCTAAGTAAGAAATCCACAGTTTTAAAAAATAAAAAAATCCACAGTTGAAACTTAAGAGCTGCCAGATGAGTTTGGGCTAGAAATCACACTGAGCAAAAGAGTTGTTCAAAATTACTATGTAACTATGACCACAGAGGTGACTCTAGATAGAAATGAGGACAAGTGTTTGCAAGAAAATAATAATGTTTTTCTAGCAAGTGATTCATAAGGAGATCTATCAAGATGTAGCTTGAGAAAGAAACCCAGTGGGATTCTTTTATCCTCAGCTCTTTAGGAAGACTTTACCCAGACCAGGATTTTTAGCATTCCCCAATAACCAAATTATGCTCAATTCTCAGATATCCAGGGCTCAGTTAACCAGGTCCATTGTTATCTACGTTCCTTTTTCCTCTTCTACCTCTCCACTGCACCCTTTGCCCATTTGGTACCTGTATGGCAGCAAAGGTAATAAAGCAATTAAGGAGATGGCCCTTTGCATTTCATAAACCACTTTGTGTTTGGCCTTTATCAAATAGGGAAAGCTATAATTACTCATGAGGATGACTTTTTTCTTTCTGTATATTATCTGAGGATTCAAATGATCTCTCCATTATTATTGGATTACTATCTAATAATCAAGAAATTATTATCTAGATAGCCCAAATATCTCTATAGTTTCTATCCAACTTCATCACGTACACATTTTCCTTCACATTAAATATACACACAATTATCAACAAATCCTGAAGTAAACATAAAGTAGAAATTCTCAAAAAAAAAAAGGAAACTTTTGTATATTGAAATGTACTCTAGAAACTTGAAACACTACCCAGAGTGCGTTCCAAAGAACAGTGGCCATTTAGATGCTCAGCTAGAAAAAACAGTTCTCTTGTCAAATAAATTTGAGAAAAAGATGCAGTCTATTCCCTCTCTTAGACATGTAAAATAGATATTAGAACATTAAAGACTCCAATAAAGAGACATACTGAATTTGTATAGACAAGCATTTTCCAGACTTCTTTAGCCATGCAAAACATTTTTCACAGTTTAGGACTCCAAGGCACAAAATTTTGGAAATTCTAACTTATAATATGCCAAGATAAAAAAAATACCTCACACACAAAAAAAAAGAAATGAATCTAAGATGGTTTAACATAGCTCTAAATTTAAAAGGATAAATGAAGGATAAAGTAAGTATTGCTTACAGAGAACTGAAAAATTGCTATTTAAAATATTCAACTGGGCAGAGCTCCAGTTCCATCTCCAGGCCCCTGGCCAGCAAAGGACGTCTAGGCAGGGGCAACACTGCCCCCCGCCCCATCTCCAACTCTCCCAAGCCCAGGACCCTTCCCCCTAGAAAGACTGGCCTCCGCTCTGCAGCAGAGCTCCAGTTTCATCTCCAGGCCCTTGGCCAGCAAAGACAAGCAGCGCGCAACTTTTTCTTTATTCTCCTTTGTACTCTTTTCTTCCCTCTTATGTTATCCTCTCTTCCTCATCCTCCACCCTGGCAGAGGGACTAGACAGGTCCAGAATCACAGTTCTGAAATTCCCTAGTATTGTAAGGTTCCCTGGGATTCTCCCTTTTACTGAACCACTTGTGAAAAAGGAGATACTGCTCTTCAGACACCTGAATAAAGTACACCTCTTGAGACCACATTGCTAAAAACAACAGACGAGAGACTTCAGCACACATCAGTCCACAGCAAAAGGGAAACACACTTGCTCCTAGTCGAAGAAACGTTCTCTTAAGCAGTATTCAAAAGTGAATACATCTCGGGAACCAGCAGTTAGCGTAATGGCTATGTCGCTGGACTCCCACGTAGTCGACCACGGTTCGCGTCCCAGCTCTGGTGGCTTAAAACTCATGCAGGGCGCGTGTGCGTGCGTGCCCAAGATCCTGAGAGGAGAATGGAGGAGAAGGGATTGCGGCGTGACCATCCCCCCAGGGGGGTGATTTCTCGCTTTCTGTCTCTCTGTCTCTCTGTCTGTCTGGCGAGTGCACGCACCCTATAGCGAAAACCTCTCCAAAAAAGAAAAAAAAAGTGAATATATCTCCCAATGACGACTAGAAGTAGAAGAGCCTCAGGTCTGAAGAAACCAGGAAATATGTCTCCATAAAAAAAAAGAAAAAAAACAGTAACTCCCCTCCATTTTTCAGGGAAAAAAAAAAAAAAAACAGTTACCAAAATGTCAGAGAAAGAATTTAGAACATTCATGGTGACAACATTCTATGAGTTGGAACAGAAAAGAGACAATGAACTACAGGAGATTAGGAAGTCCTTCCATGAAAAATGAAATGGACACACTGAGAAAGAGTAAGATGGAACTATTAAAGATGAAGCCTGCAATACAAGAAATCAAAAATTCTCTTGAAAGAATTAAAAGTCGATTAGACCATGCTAAAGATTGAATCAAAAAAAAAAAAAACCATGAAAAAGATAAGAAAATAACAAAAATAAAAAAGAGGATAATATACAAGATACTAGATTCCTTTAGATGCCCAAGTATCTGAATAATTGGCATCCCAGAAGGTGAAAAAACTAATAAGGGCATGAAAAATCTATTCCATGAAATCCTGGAAGAAAATTTCCCAAGTCTAGAGAGGCACTCAAACATCCAGACCCAAGAAATACAAAGGACTCCAGATAGAATCAGTCCAAGAAGATCTTCCCCAAGACACATCTTAGCCAGGCTGTCTAAGACCACAGATAAAGACAAGATACTAAAACTGGCAAGAGAGAAATGACAAATGGCTTACAAAGGTCATCCTCATCAGGCTAAACACCGGACCTCTCAACGAAACAATGCAAGCAAGGAAAGAATGGAAAGACGTACTGAAAGTTTTAAGAGAAACAGTTTCAACCAAGATTATTATATCCTGCAAGATTGTCCTTCATATGGGAAAAAAAAGATTAAAATCTTTTCAGACAAACAAAACCTGAAAGAATTTGCCAATACCAGACCAGCTCTTCAATAAACCCTGAAGAGAGTATTGTTCAAGGAAAACTAAAGAATGAACAGCCAGAAATAAAGGAATTAAAGGCAACCAAAACAATGGCCAACTTAAACATCAGGACAAGTCCAGAACATTGAATTTTAATGGATTAATTCTCTGATCAAGAGACACAGATTGGCTGAATGGGTTAAAAAAAATAATAAAATAAAATAAAACAGATACCCTCTATCTGTTGCCTACAGGAAACCCACCTTATGGATAAAGACATGTAGACTAAAAGTGAAGGGTTGGAAAAAGGTTTTTTCATGCAAATGGGAACCAAAAAAAGAACTGGAGTCTCAATTCTAATTTCTGACAAAATAGGCTTTAAAACAAAAACTGTTCAAAGAGACAAAGAAGGGGCACTATATTGTAGTAAAAAGGGTCAATCAATCAAGAAGATATATCGCTTATAAATACCTATGTACCTAACACAGGAGCACCCAAATACGTGAAGGAAAGACTGTTAGATCTCAAAGGGGAGATAGACTGCAACACACTAATTGTTGGAGACCTCAAAATCCCACTACCCCCCTAGACAGATCATCTAGACAAAATATAGGTAAAGAGATAAAGGATCTAAATTACACCATAAATAAAATGGACTTAGTAGACATCTATAAAACATTCCATCCAAAAACCACAAGTTATACTTTTTTTCTCACACCCACATGGAAATTTTTCAAAGATTAACCACATGATAGGACACAAGGCAAGCCACTACAGATTCAAAGGCATAGAAACTATATCCAGCATCTTCTCTGACCATGATGGAATTAGACTTGATTTTAATTTCAAGAGAAACCCTCAAAAATACACAAATACATGGAAACTAAATAACCTACTCCTGAATGACTTCGCAACTACTGAAGAAATAAAGACTGAGATCAAAAGATTCATGGAAGCCAATGACAATGAGGACACAAGTTTCCATAATCTTTGGGATACTGCTAAAGCAGTCATAAGATGGGAAGTTCATAGAAATTAGTGCACATACGAAAAAGATGGAAAGAAGGCAAATCGATCACCTAATATCGTGCCTCTGAGAACTGGAAAAGCAACAGCAAAAAAATAAAAAAAAATACCTCTAGGAGAAAGGAAATAATAAAGATACGAGCAGAAATAAATGAAATAGA